ACACTAACTACAAAATGAAATTAGCATGAACATGAAAACTCTCTGAGACTCACGTCTTCCAAATCAATCTGATCGCCTTCAAGGTGTACCGCACTGATAGCTTCTGAACTACTCAGTTATAATATTGACATTGTTGTACTTAATGAAACCCACCTTCTTGACGAAAACTTAACTGAGCAAGGGTCTACTCCCTGAATCACCATTAGGAGCCAATGACACTCCGAATCTCTCAGTAAACAGTATTAGCCACTCAAAAGCTGTCTTTTCCCAACACTTCCATTTGAAGCAGCTATGAAGGACAAATTCCAGACAATGCCCTTGCATTATCCTAAACAATAACAAAATCCTTCCCAGTAATTTTATCCCCAGAGTAGGATCCAACTGGGAACTTTGGCACGGCACTGTTGGTAAGCATGGAGTCGGAAAAGGGAATGTCTCTAAGTCTCTAGTTCTAATTCTAAGAAACACCAATACTGAATTCCAAGTCAACAAGTACAAAACGTCACGATACATCCCAGATCCCAAATGCTGATATCAAAAGCATGTTGAGCAAGATTATATCTCCATATGGATTGGTCATGTTATTAGAATGCCTGAAAACCGCTTGGCCCGTCAGGTATAGAGATTTCGTGATGGTGTAAGACCAGTCTGGAGAAAAAAAAGAAACGTTTTAAAGTCCAACTGAAATGGACTCTCAGACAGTGCAACTCCAAGCACTATTGTATTTGATTGATAAATATTGCACTCAACAGGCGAGCAACTACCTTCGAATCGTTAATGGTTAAAAATAAAATAAATGTGCTAGACATCTAAAGTCATGTAGCACTGTAGTAAATGTTAGTAAAGGGTGGTTAAGTTAGTGATTAGTTGTCAAATATGGGCAAAGGAATTGGTGAGTGAATGGGTTAAGGTCGGGTGAGGTAATGTAAAGGGGTTAGATTAAGTGAGGGATATCTATGCGTTTGAGAGGAAAACAGGTTGCCGAAGCAGAATAGGTTGGGAAGTCGGTGAAGGGAGGATAGGTGGAGGGAAGCAGAGGTACAGGCTGCTTCAAAACGTGTGCATGACATTAGAATGTGTGGGACTGAAAGATGAACATTACATAAGGAGCATAGGGGTGGATCGGATTGTGACATCAGATAGGAGTGTGTTAGACGGGTGTGGAAGGGGATACTTGTGATATAAGGGATTCATGTGTGTATCCAGGAGGGAGTGGAAGGGATAGAGTAGATGGTGGGAGGGGAGAATATTGGGTGACAGAAAAGGGAATGTCGGACCTATCCCCCCCGACTCCAACCCCGCCCACAATGTGGGCGGGGTTGGAGTCGGGGGGGATAGGCTGTGTTGGGAGGGGGTAGGAGGATAGGGTGTAGGGGGGATATTGTTAGGAGGAGGATGGATATCGGCAGTCACTTGGTGTGTGGAGGGAGCAGGAGTTGTGGGATTTGAAGGTTGAGTGTCAGTTTTCATTAAGTAGTCTTGAATATTTTCAAGAGTTTCTTCAATGGAGTTGGTTGGGGAGTTTTGTGAGTTAAAGGATTTCTTGTGAGGGGGGGGGAGAGAAGACTGGTGTCTCAAGAGTAGGGGCAAAGGAAGGTGGAGGTGATTGTGTGGTAGGGGAAGAGGGGGTGGAACGTTTGTTTTGTCTGTTGCGGGTAGTGCGGGGAGGGAGAGGGGAGGGTTTTGGGGTTGTAGTGGAGATTGGAGTGTCTGGATTTAGGATGGCAAAAGAATTTGACTGGGGAAGGTAGGAGGTAGAAGAGGGGAAGTTAGATGGAGGGGGGGTAGGTTTAGGAGAGGGTGTAGGAGCTTGGGAGGTAGAGGAAGTGGTAGATTGAGCAATATTATTGGAGTAGGGATTAAGAGAAAAACCTCGTCGACGTGCTTCCTGTCTGGCTTCACGTAGTGTGAGTCCAAGTTTGAATCTGAGAGTTGCTACCTCAGACTCAAATTTGTAGGTGGGGCAGCCCCAATGAAATACATTATGATGGCCACCACAGTTGGCACATGTGCGTGATTGTGCAGAGCAGTTTGACCGAGTATGGCCTGGTTGGGCACATAGTGGGCATCTGGCTGTGGAACGGCAATGTTTGGCTGGGTGTCCTAAATACTAACAATTTTGGCACTGACGAGGAGGAGGATTCCCCACCTATGTAAACATGAAATGGAAGGTCATGTCTACGGAAAGTAATTTTGGCAATGTTAGTGGGTTTCTTACGATGACCTCTGGGAGGAATGGAGTAGCATTGTACTGATGTCGCATCATAGTCTGTGAGACAGGTGAGTAAGTCTCCACAATCTGACCAATCTTTGTCATAGATTGGGCAATTTGCTGGGGAGATTGAAACAGTTCCGGTGCAAGTATTGAGGGTTGGATGGGGTTCTGCAATGATGGGGTTACCATATAGATCAGTTAGTTTTGCTAATGTTTTAGCTTGGTTTTCGGATGTTACTGTGATGAGACGGGAGCGGTCGGGTCGGCTACGGAAAGAGATTTTGCCTACTTGTTTTTGGAGACATTGCTGGAAGAGAAGGGTGTTGTCAGAGTAGGGAGCTGTGGGAGGGATCACGAAAAATCGGTTCCATTTGGCTGGGCTAAATAGAGTATTTAAGATTGTTGTAGAGATTGGGGTAGTAGAAGGGCGGGGGTGTGTCGAAAAGGGAGTAGTGTTGAGGGAGGTAATGCTATGGAGAGGTGGGCAATAAGGCTGCAAGGTATTAATAAGGGAGGATGGGGTAGTTGATGTAGAAGGCTGTGGGGGTAGAGGTGTTGAGCATGATGGGAGAGTAGAAATGTCTCTAGGGGGTCGAGTGTTGACTACTGTAGAGCCTGGGGTCAGGGAATCGGAAGGATTTGAATTGTTGGGGCTATTTGATGAAGGGGCAAGCCTCATTGCCCATAATAGTGGAATTACGTTTTCATTATTGGCCATGGTAAGCCTGGAGTATGTTGGGGAGAAAAACAGTCCACCCCTCAGGGTCCTCTTGAGGGGTAAGGGCTAGGCCTAAGCAGGGGAACACCGTGCCCATGGCTCCCTCAGGCCATTCAGGACTGGCACAAAGTTAGTCTTTCATCCTTTCAGCACGGCTCTCACACCTTAGGTGGATAGTAGAAGGGATTGGTGAAGGGACAGAAACGAAAAAGTAGGAAGAGAAAAAAGACTATGCAAAATTAGTTGAGTCGAGGGCTGAGTCCCAAGGTTGGGGAGTTCCCCATCATTGGGTCCCAGTCTCCGCCTCCTAAGCCCCCCCACGACAACAACGGGCAAGGGATTGGGGGGGAACTACCTTCGAAGCAGCCCGAACAGCCCCCAATTCAGGGCCGCTCTCGCAGGCATAACATACTATTGGGCCAAGGAATGGCATTCCCTGTCCCACGTGAGGATGACGCTCTGTCTCAGAATTCGAACTCGTAAGTCACTTTCGCACTCACCAAAGATTACCATGAAACAAAACATGATTCTAAATTCAAAGCTTATAATATATTGTACACACATATAACATATATATAATACATCACCTACATAAGCTACTTGCTTTCATAAATTTATATTAATTTTTCTTACTTAGGTTTGTCGGTGGGGATATAAGTATATCAATCTAGGACCATGGCCAGAATTTTGATAGTGATTTTGAAAACAATAGAGTGTGTATTTGTGTACAGTTTCTTTTGTAACAGTGCATATACACTTTTTTTTGTATTAGTCCATTTACTGCACATATGTAAACCTCGAGGCCGAATACAGGAACTTTCATGCTCTTCTAGAGGGGATGCTTGCCCACGCTTACTACTGATATCCCCTAACCTTGCAGGAACTTGGCAAAACATATAAGCTTTTGCTGTCGTGTACAGAAAGTCCCCAACTTACGAACGACCGAGAGGCTGTTCGTAACTCCATTTGTTCGTATATCCAAAGTCGGGTCTCCATTGCCTTTTTTCCCATTTTTTTAAAGTTTTGTTTACATTAAGAATACCTGTATATAAATCCCAATAAGTATTTTTGATGGACTGATGCACAGGTAAGCGAATTATGGCACAAAAATTGGCGGTACACGAGGACACAGTGAACAGATGCTTTTGTGTTTATGGCGGGAGGGCAGGCAACTGAGGCGAGTGATGTGCACAGCTGAGTGAGCGCGGCAGCGCCATGGCGTGGTATACTTGTGAACTATATTCAAGCCTGGGAAATTTGAAGTTTGCTAGCATCTTTCAAACAATTTTTTGGACTTAAGTATTTTTAAAAAATTTGTTCGTATGTATGGAATGTTTGTAAGTAGGGGACTTACTGTACTATAATGCACACGATACAAGGTAAGTCAAAGTATCACTATACAGGTGACAAGGTAGTATATTCCACACATTGTGAAAAAAAAAAAAAAAAAAAAAAAAAACATAAAAAGTGTTTAATTGTTGGTTTGTAATGGGAGATGCTGATGTGGGTAGTGACAGACTACCCTCATTTTTAACAATAATAAATATTAATATTGTAGTGACAATCATAACCATGACAACAGCAACGATGATGATGTTGATGATTGTATAGCAATGGTGATAATGATAACGACAACAATGATAATAATGAAACTTGATAATATAATAATGATTATTACAATAACATATATACAATACATGTGATACCAGTAATTTCATCTTGACAATGATTTTTGTTTATAGATTTGCAATTACAATGAGTATATGATAAATACAACATATGTTTACACAAATATGACAGAGAAAATATATTTTTGAATTGTTTATTCTGAGAATACACACCGAAAAGTATATTTCTGCAGTATATAGAATATGCTGCAGTGCTACCTGTGTATGCTGACTGAACTGTATTCAAATACAAAACAGAAAAAGCTTGAGTCATTCGTAAAGAGACTTTCTGCAAGGTTCTGTGATGATCACAGATACGGCAACCCTATGGGGCATGAAAGTTTCTGTACTCGGTCTCGAGGGGTCGGAGAGAGTGGATCGTGAAGGCACAGAAAATAAATGCCTGAATTAATATTTATATACATAACAAACAAGATATCTTGATAATGGTATAAGGATAGATTAATGAAGTGACAATACATATTGATAAAAAAGTAATAACAAAAAGATGGAAATGTATTTTTCATCATCATCACAATGATAATAAATAATACTAATAAGAAACAATAACAAATCAAGAAATATAATAAAAAAGTAAAATGACTATGAGCCACAAAATATCCCGAGACTGTATCTCCATTTCCATCTTAATCATGGTGGTCGTGCTGTGCTTCCGCTTCCCGCCAATTGTTCAGGATTGCCTCTGTCAGTCTTGCACACAGCTCTGATGTGAGGAATAGCCAAGATGCACAGCTCAGGAGGAAGACCCATGCAGCCCACAGGGCATATGGGCAGCCTTCTGCTAATTTGGATGGGAGGTTGGCCTAAGGATAGAGAAATCCAATACACTATTTTACTTTAACATTATAAATTGAGGCCTTGAAGGGTTCAAGGGTATATTCTTGAGACACCCTATTCAATATATGCTTGGCTTCAAGTACTCTATCAAATTAAAACTGGAAAGAACACAGATGGGAGGGCAGGTTAGGTTATATAATAGACACATTTACCTACGTAATCAGGAAATAAATTATGTTTTTAAGGGCACTCAAGAACTAACATCCCTTACCCCTCACCAGCCATTAATGTTCAGGTTCTAGTCAATGTGCCTGGTGACTGCAGTGAGTAAAATGTAAGGCTCACACCCCTGTAACCTAAATGCCATTCAACAATTTTGTTGGTCATTTCTTTAGGATAAAGATTAGGATGCCTTCTTAAATTTAGATTTGTAGAATTTGTGCCCATCTGTGAATGTTGCATTGCCTTTATAGGATGGTTACTAATCAAAACCATTTTCTTAAAATATAGTATGAGTAGGGTCTTAAATACCTCAGTTATTCACATATACAAAAGAAAATATCAGAGAAAGACATTAACAATCTCTTAAAGCAATCTGATATATCAAAAATATTTTCTAGATCTGCAATATACATTTTCTACATTTTATTAACTTATGTATGAATTCAATATAATTGGCCTACCATACTGTTAACAAAATATAAAATTAGGAGAATTTAAGAACTGTTTTAGTTATCATCTTGCACACATTACACATTTAGGGCAACATCACCAAAAATATAAATAAAAAGGCAAAATGTGTTTATATCATTATTCAGAAAATAACTTATACATTATGAGCTCACCTGAAAGTCCAAGGATGTGACGTTTATGTCAGTAATTTCCTGGTCAGTGTAGTGATTAATAAAAGAGACCAACTGCAGGACTGAGTAATCTGAAGCATTGAATCGTCCAACCCCATTTCCATTGTGAAACAGCAGGAGTGTCGGGGTTCCCATGACACCATAACGGGCATTTACACTAAGAAAAGAAACAATATTTTAAGGAAAAAATATCAGAGATTATATTTCATTTTAACTATTATTTTCTGTGTAACAAATGAATATGTAAACATCAATCCATGAACACTGAGACAGACAGACTGAAAAACAGACACAAAAAAAGAAAGAAAGAAAGAAAAAGAAGAAAAAAGAGAGAGAGAGAGAGAGAGAGAGAGAGAGAGAGAGAGAGAGAGAGAGAGAGAGAGAGAGAGAGAGAGAGAGAGAGAGAGAGAGAAAAAAAATAAAAAAAATAAAAATAATACAGTACAATTATGCTATCTGTGAATCCCTATTTTAGGGATGAAAAAATATAATAAAAAATTTGATTTCTGTCATGAAAACAGATCTCTTTTCACTTACCTATGGTGCTCAATGCTATCTAAACCATAGACAGGTATATTTGGAATAGAACGTGCCATGGCATTTACATATGGTGATCCCTTTACAGAAAATAGGCAGTATGGACTGAAGAAATACACTAAATAGCATGTTCCAGCCAGTGTCCTGCTAGTTATGTTTGGGTCCCCCTGAAGTAACTTCATAAGTGCAGTTGCATTGATAATCTGCAGGCATAATAAAAAAATAACAGCACTTTAGCCACTGCTTATAAGTGAATGATTAGTCAGTATCACAGATGTAAAAGAAATATCCAAATGAAGGTAATCGGGTACAATTTTTTTCCAGAATTGAAAGAACAATACCATGCTAATACAATAAACACATAATAAGAGTATTCTGCACAGGTGGTTGATTCACAATGTTGAAGGACAGGAAAAAATATTACCTCAACATCTTGTACAGGTTCACTTGTGTTGACCTTTGAGCAAACTGCCTTTTTGCTTCCTGCATTTGCATTCCCACTAATGCCCCCGGTGCTGTTGGAATCACCAGTCTTAGCAAGATTATCATCCTGCTTCTCTGATGATCCAGATGATATAAGTGCCTCTTCTTCTACCTGTAACCATGTATATGTCTCTCCAGAATAAATTTAGATTTCATTTCCCCATCACTAACTGAATTCATATCATGCAATAATCTTTCTAATCTGTGCAATCTTTACCTCTGATTCATCTCCCATGCTGCCTTCTGTAGTGCTGTATTCACTATTCTGATCCTCCTCTTCATCATCATCTGTTAAACCTTCTGGCTGAAATACAGTATTAGTGAATTATAGGTCATAAACTTATGTAAAGGCCAGGAAGGGAAGGGAAGGGAAGGGAAGGGAAGGGAAGGGAAGGGAAGGGAAAGGAAGGGAAGGGAAGGGAAGGGAAGGGAAGGGAAGGGAAGGGAAGGGAAGGAAAGGAAGGGAAAGGAAGGGAAGGGAAGGGAAGGGAAGGGAAGGGAAGGGAAGGGAAGGGAAGGGAAGGGAAAGGAAGGGAAAGGAAGGGAAGGGAAGGGAAGGGAAGGGAAGGGAAGGGAAGGGAAAGGAAGGGAAGGGAAAGGAAGGGAAGGGAAGGGAAGGGAAAGGAAGGGAAGGGAAGGGAAGGGAAGGGAAAGGAAGGGAAGGGAAAGGAAGGGAAGGGAAGGGAAAGGAAGGGAAGGGAAGGGAAGGGAAAGGAAGGGAAGGGAAGGGAAGGGAAGGGAAGGGAAGGGAAAGGAAGGGAAGGGAAGGGAAGGGAAGGGAAGGGAAGGGAAGGGAAGGGAAGGGAAGGGAAAGGAAGGGAAGGGAAGGGAAGGGAAGGGAAGGGAAGGGAAAGGAAGGGAAGGGAAAGGAAGGGAAGGGAAGGGAAGGGAAAGGAAGGGAAGGGAAGGGAAGGGAAGGGAAAGGAAGGGAAGGGAAGGGAAAGGAAGGGAAGGGAAGGGAAAGGAAGGGAAGGGAAGGGAAGGGAAAGGAAGGGAAGGGAAGGGAAGGGAAAGGAAGGGAAAGGAAGGGAAGGGAAGGGAAAGGAAGGGAAGGGAAGGGAAGGGAAAGGAAGGGAAGGGAAGGAAGGGAAGGGAAGGGAAGGAAGGGAAGGGAAGGGAAGGGAAGGGAAAGGAAGGGAAGGAAGGGAAGGGAAGGGAAGGGAAGGGAAAGGAAGGGAAGGAAGGAAGGGAAGGGAAAGGAAGGGAAGGGAAGGGAAGGGAAGGGAAGGAAAGGAAGGGAAGGGAAAGGAAGGGAAGGGAAAGGAAGGGAAGGGAAGGGAAAGGAAGGGAAGGGAAGGGAAGGGAAGGGAAGGGAAGGGAAGGGAAAGGAAGGGAAGGGAAGGGAAAGGAAGGGAAGGGAAGGGAAGGGAAGGGAAGGCAGAAGAGAGGAGGATAGGGGGGATGGAGAGGGAAATGTGAGGTGACGTGAAGTGAGGTAAAGAGACACAAACAAAGGTAGAATGTGGAGAGAAGAGTTGAGGAGTGGATAAAGAAGGGAATATAGGATAGAAGGGAATAGAGAAAGAGAGAGGAGAACCAAGAGGGGATTGGAGAGGAAAGGAGAGGAGAAGAGATGAGAGGATAGAGAAGAAACCAAGAAACACAGGAGAAGGAGAGGACAGAAAAGGCAGATGAAAAGGCAAATGAAGGAGTGAAGGAAAAAAGAGGAAAATAGAACTAGAAGGAAGGAAAAAGGAAGTCAACCTAGAAATCAAGAGAGGAGAAGATGGATGATGAAGAGAAAGAACTCAAAAAGATGAAGAATCTCTAATTCTAATTGGGATTAGTACTGTATGAAAATGTGTCATATAATAGGAAACATTTTAAAACCCAAGTCTGAGCTTAGCTAAATTACTTATTTCAGGCTAACAAGACTTTAATGTCCTTTTGCCTTACCTTTAATTTCAGTAATATTTCTCGAAGAGGTATGTTTTCCATTTCAGGATCCACCTTGTTCAATTTAGATTCATCTTCGTTTTCTTCACTTTCGACTATCATTTGTCCTTCACCATTAATATTTTCATCTTCATCCTCCTCTTTCTTATCTTCTCCTTCATTACCTGGTGTTCCTTCTCTAAATGCTTCTTTGGTTGCATCTCCATCTATTGATTCCTGAATTGTTTCTTTAGAGCATTTACTGTTTAATTCACTAA